CTTCAAGTTAAAACATGGATTTCTAATGAAACTGTTAAATATATCTTGACAATAGGATACTGGACTCTTTGCCGTTATCCGTACACATATTGATGGATATATGACTTTTTATGAATAACTATACTATAGCAATAATACAGGGGAACTCAGTGGTGGTGGGCAGGGAACTTGAGGATGGGATAAGGAAAATCCCACGGCCTAAGAAACTGCACCATAAAATAATAATAATATAAAAAAAGGAATCAAAAAAATGGATGAGCCCTAAAAAAAAAAGATAACAGTAAAATGGTCTTTTAAGACGTTTGAAATGTAGGACTTCTGTAGTGGCTCGAAGGACTAATCTGCCACCTAACATCACTGGCATCCCAATATGGTCTCTGGTTCTAGTCCCAGCTGCTTCACTTATGTTCCAGCTACCTGCTTGTGAATAGAAAAGCAATAAAAAAGGCTTTGGATTCCTGCAGCCATGTGGGTGACCTAGAAGCTTCTGGCTTGTTCCTATGTGGAAGTTTGTGTTCCTAAGTTCCTATGTGGAAGTTTGTTCCTAAGTTCAGCTTGTTCCTATGTGGACATTTGTGGAATGAACCAGTAGATAGAGGATCTCTCTCTCCTGTGTTGGTCTCACTTTCTGTAAATCTACTTCTCAAATAAAAGTAAATAAATGTAAAATATGTGTGACCTGTGATTTCCATTACATCAAAAATGTGTAAGTAGCCAAAATGACAAAATACAATTAATGTTATACATCATTAAACTGGTAAAATAGGCAAAAGGTTTCAGAGGACTAGGTAGGAGAAAATGATGAGCCAATGCGTTTATTGTTGTTGCTTCCATGTGTACAGCATGTTTACTTGCATGAATAATAATATGAGGATCCTCTATTATTTTACAACTGTATCATTTCTATGTCTCTTCATTCTGAGGCATAAAATTAACCCTAGAGGGCCAATATGGTGGAATATCAGGTCAATCCCCCACCTGCAGTACTGGAATCACTCCCCAGATGGCTACAAAGGCTGCAGCCGGGCAGATCTGAAGCCAGGAACCAGGACCTTTGTCTGGTTCTCCCATGTGCGTGCAGCTTTCTGACTCTGTTATTCCACTTCTGGTCCAGCTCTCTGATAATACCCTGGGAAAATAGCAGAGGATGACACATGTCCTAGGGCCCTTGCACCCACATTGGAGACCTGGAAGAAGTTTCCAGCTCCTGGTTCCTGGCCTCAGATCGGCTCACCTCCAGCTGTTGTGGCTATCTGGGAAGTGAACCAGAGATCAAAAACCCCTATCTGTCTCCCTTTCTCTTTCTGTAAAATCTTTCCAATAATAACTAAATAAATAAATCTTTCAAGGAGAAAACTTATGTTCCTTTTCAACTACTTCTGTATCAAATCACTATAATCCCAAAAGCTTCAAGCAATTCAAATGTGTGGGTAAGTCTTTATATACTTACAGAAAACTCATATAGGAAAACTATGCATGGAACCTTATACACGATAATGCCAAGGTACAGAAATGCTAGAATAAAGTTGCCTTTATTGCTGCTATAGAATTATGGTACATCAACAAGATAAAGCTTTGCAGAAACTGGCTGGGTTAAACACTATGATAACCTGGAGGATCGCCACAGCTAAGTTTTGTTCTCTGATCTTGAAAATATCGTCACTTCACCCTATAAACAGTGTGAAGCAATCTGTCTTCTCTGTTCTCTCAGGATTGGGTAGTAACAAAAAAATAGGGTGAACTGAATTCAAAACCCCATAACATAAAAGCAGGACCCAGCCTCTTGTTAGTTGAAGGTTTTCTTATATGCCTTTATCAAAAGGAATTCACTGACTTAAGGGAGTGTCCCAACAAGCCTTATAAAACACAGATCACCTGACTCAAGTAAATCTGCTTCTCCAATAAATAACAAGCTTGATGGCCAGGTTGTCTTGGAGTTTGTGTCAGGCAGTTCTAGGTCTGAGGAAAATGGTAATTCTAGGCTGGGAGCGTGTAACTGTGACCTTCATGTAACCTTCAGATAAACTGAAATCTACCTGGCCATCATAAATTTTCTGATGAGCATGGCAATCAAAACAAAGTCATGAGCTCCATCGACCAATCATGAACTTAGACATATGCTAATCACACAACTCTTACCCAAATTTCAACCTACAGCAACCTTCACCCCTTAACTCTTCAGGGAGCCCTGGAATTGAACAATAGCTGCCTGGCTGCTTGCTATGTGCTTTGAAATAAACACCTACTTTCTCCCCAGACACTGACTGGTGATTGACTTTCTGTAACTTGAATGGCAGGTTCTATAGCAATGGCTCCAACCAATTTGGTTGGATTTTGGCAACATAATTATACTCTTCTGAGAGCTTTTGTTTTGAGAAAGCAGACCAGGTAATTCTGGTCAAATTTTCAATGAAATTTGCCACTTTGAATTTGTATTCCTCTCCTCTGATTGTTAAGTTTATTTATTTATTTATTTTTTTCCAAAAAGGCTCTTCTTAGACCAATGAGTCTTTCTCTCTTGGAGCTCTCTGGTGACTAACGTGACAGAAGATCTCTGACAAATCTTGTTTAGCTTTATATCAAAATAAACTTTTTTTCCATGAAGACTTTAAAGTCTTCTAGTATTATTTCACAGTTCTGAAAAATCAGAATTTTGAAAAGTGTTTAAGTGGGCTAAAATCTAGTTTTCAACAGAACTGCATTTCTTCAGAAGGGCCTGTTTTGGTTTTTTTTTTTAATTTGTTTGTTTGTTTGGTTTGGTTTGGTTTTGGTTTTTGGGTTTTTTTGCTGTTGTTTTCAGCCTGCTCAAGGCTCTGACCTTTACATGGCCTTTCTATCATCAAAGCTAGCAAATGGCCAGAATAGCCTTCCCCACATTTCCTCACTGACTCTCATGTTCCTGCTTCCTGCTTTCACTAATAAGGACATTCAAGATTACAGCTGGTCTGGGATAACCCAGGAACAAGATAAGCTGATTAAATTGCCTTAATTCTGACCAGAGAGCTTAGCACACCCATGGTTTCCAGGGATTAAGATGTGGGCATTACCAGGAACCATTATTCTGACTGGGGCCAACCTCATAAGTCCCCACTAAAACCCAAAGAAACAACTAGAAGAGAGGAATTTAAATGTTCCTAACAAAGAAATTATTAATGTTAAGAAAAAGAAAATGCTAAATAATACCCTAATTTGATCATTTTACATTATACACTTGTATTAAATTCTCATATTCTATCCCATGAACAGCTTTTATTATTTGTGTCAAGTAAAAAACATGAAAAATATTTACACACTGCCTATAGAAAATAACCACAGAGTATCATTCATATGTAAATACCTATATAACCACTAAATCTAACCAGTCAAAATCAAAGCAAACAGGAATATATATAGTGGCTGAATGTTTTAAAAACACTTTTGCATTTGAATCACCCCCATTCTTTAATACCTCCTTTACAATTCAAGCTCAATGACTTGGCAGATTGAAAGATCTACCCCCATTGGCCTTCTGGAGGCCATTGTTTCATCAGCGCTGGGAAAAATAGTTAACTTGCTGGAGTTAGCACAAAGACATAATTATTAAGCAAGCAGCACACGTCTCCAAAGAGAAGTCACATAGAACATCAAGCAGGAGCCTCTAAAGAGAAAACTGGGAGCTCTACTGCTTTCCATTATGCTCTATTCAGTTCTGAGATCTAAATTGCTGCTGATTTTTTTTTATCTTTTAATCACTTCACAGAAGTTAAGTGTCCCGGGGAGACACTACAGAGGGCAGCACATAGCTCATCCCATTGATTCTAAATTAATTTGATCTTTTAGCTTCCAGTTACTGAGCTTCCTGAGCAGCTAAAGAAAAATGTCATCCTGAGTCACTTTTTTCTTTTTCATAAATAAAATCTGACAGTAGACCCTGAGTTTTGGCAAAAGTGCATTTAATACATATATCCATTAAATAGAAATATAAAATTTTGATCACTTATAAGATACTTTTTAAATAGTAACAGCATAAAAGTAACATATATAAGAATTAATTTATTTTAACATAGTAACTTTGTCTAATGTGATTCAAAGCACAACTTTTCCCGTTCAAAGGCTGTCAACTTCTGCTAAGGTATCATTTTCCTCAAAAACTATAATCATCAACTTTGAAAAAGCAATCTGAAAATATAATGCTCCCTATAAGCTAAAAGAATGTACAGGTTAGCCCCCTCAAATTATACCAAGATCAACTCAATAAAATAATAGAATCGCTTCATTGAAGTTTAAAATAGTCATAAATATTACCTGTAAAATCTAAATTTTTAAATCTTCTCTAACATTGTGACCATTACATATCATTAATCATTAAGAATAGATCTGTATATTTATGGCTATAATAATCAAAGAAATAGCTTTAATTAAGCCTGTTTACATAAAATAAGAAATTACTCGAAATTGGATATAAGTCAATATACTTTGGGATGGATATTTCGCATAGTGGTAAAGATTTCAATCAGAAAATCCACATCCCATAGGATAATATCCAGGTTTGAGTCCCACCTCTATTTCAGATTCCAGATTCTTGCTAATCATATACAGGAGTCTATAGGTGAACTCAAGTATTCACAGCCCAGTCACCCACATGGAAAACTAAAATTACATGATTGATTCCTGACTCTGGCCTGGCCCAGAGGATGAATCTTAATATGGATGATCTCTGCCCCTCTTTCTTTCCCGTTTTGTTCCTCTGACATTCAAATGAGTAAAAGAAATAAATAGTAATAATTGTTTACAAACTTTTTGAATCTCTAAGAGTTCCTAAAAACTCATTTTACAAAGAAATCTTTGAGGTCTAGAGAACTGAAATAGCTTCAAATTGGCAACCTAGGATTTACATGTCTAGTCTTCCCTCGCTACTATATCCTCATTAAAGTTCCTGTCTCAATGACCCAACCAGCTTCAAGCACCTCTCATCCCTGAAAAGAACAATCGAAGAATGAATCCTAGCAGGGCCTACTTACTTGGTATACTGCGAAGCGGTGGAGGAGGTACATTGTTAATAGCTATCATGTGAGACAAAATAGATGCCGGAAGAGTAGACATCGGCATCTTGATGGTTTAAAGGAGGCTGATCAGAGGCTGCTCAGCGGGAAATGATCCCTCTACTTCTTGAAGCATCATAAAGCAGAACCCTCAGGGTTCTTTCTGATAGGTCAATGCCCACGGAATGGCCTTCCTCAGAATTCTGATACCATGTTGATGCAGCATTTCCATGAGCTAGACACAGACCAAAAATTTATCCTAGTCCAGTGTAACTTAAGATGGGATGTGGTGTGAATTGTAGGAAATAGTCGGAATAAAGAAGGATATTGTAACCCACAAGGCAGATAAAACAGAGTCATGGCACTCACCTCTCTCCAAATGTCTTTTACAACGTATTCATAATCATTTTTTAAATCCAACAACACTAGCACTATTACATGATTTGTCTTCCATTAAGTAGGAATATTAAGTTGATAGTCAACACCTAGACATTCCTCACAATGTGATCACCTCTTAGCCACTTAACTTACAAAATTATCTTGGGTAAGTCACATAATATCTGTCTTGGTGTCCATACTCTTCTGTGTACAACTGGTGCAATAGCAACGCCTCACATACACCTTTTGAAAATTAAGGAAGATAATGTAAATCATGATCCTTGCATAGTGCCTAGGTACTATAATCATTCAATCAACATTTTTATTAGTAATATTAATGCTGTTTTTAATAATGAAGCAGCCCTGGGAAAATTCAAATTGATCTCTTTTTAAAACATTGACATGAGTTCTGTCCATTCCGGCCACAGAGTCAGTAATAATATTCACAGAAGTTCACTGTTCTTGACATAATTTAGGGATTTACTTTGTGTGCCAAGAAACAGTAATAATAATAAAACTTATCATATTAATGTTCTATATAATATTAGCATTTAGAATTAAACATTGTTTTAATTAAAATGAATACATTATATACAGTTTTTCATAAATTGTTAGGGCAGGAGTATACCCTGCCTCCCACTTCAAAGTCCTAAGTTCAATTCTATATAAATAAAAAGTTATCAGATATAAAAATTATTGTGTATAGTTACATTTACCAATTGCCAATCAGTCCTTTGAAAGAATAATGCATAAATTCTATGTGCACATATCTATAAAGGTATAGTTTAAAATAATATCTAAATTAATCAAAGCTTATATAATCTGCATATATTCTTTTACTGATAAATCAAGTACAATATTTACTTATTTACTAGTTTATTTATAAACAAATGAAAATAAATGGAAATGAAATTAAGTTTGTTTATTTCAAGTTACTTCAAGTCTGCTAAAACAAAATGAAAACAGTGCACCAATACTGTCATTATTCTTCTGCCTTTAACAAATGCCTTGCTTTGCTTATTATAAACTACTATGAAGAATAGGTTTTATGTTCTTTAAAGAGATAAGCTTTATTTTCCATACCCAGTTGACAACTGTTTTTCCACATATTTGAATATACACCTATCTTCCTATATAAATGGTAATTACCTAAGGTTTAAGAATCTTTATTTTTGACTTATTGTTAGTCTTTTAAGATTTATTTTATTTTTAAGTCAGATCTACAGAGAGAAGGAGAGATAGAGAATGAGCCTTTCCATCCACTGGTTCATTCCCCAGGTGGCCGCAACAACTGGAATTGAGTCAATCTTTAGCCATGAGTCAGGAGTCTTTTCTGGGTCTACCACATGGGTGAAGGGTCCCAAGGCTTTGGGACATCCTCTACTGTCTTCCAACACCATAAGCAGGGAACTGTATGGGAAGTAGAACAGCTAGGACATGAACCAGTGGCTACATGGAATCCTGGAGGTGGCAAGGCAAGGATTTAGTCACTAAGCTATCACGCAGGGTCCTTATGTTAGCCTTTTAACATAGGTATACCTGTGTTAAACTATATTCATGTGTAACATTCACATTTGCAATATGTATGTATATACACTTGAAATATTTACACTGAACTTTAGTTCCCTCAAAATGGTCTTCTATTTGAATTAGTTGTTTATTCAGCTGAAGGAGGGCATCAAGTTTCTCAACAAATGTACCTACTCACATTTGTATATCATGGCTCTAGAGTTAAGACAGTTCTTCCACAGCTTCACTAATTGCTGCACCTGTGAATTAAGCCCTATTTTGAGTGTTCCATTCTGGCATAATATATTTTTAACACTTCTTATTAGTCAAATTAAAGTAAATTTCCATGATTTCATTGGGAATATCAAAAGCTGTACCAGATCAATTCCCCTGCTGGTTCAGAGAATCACAAGCACAACCTATGCTCTATTCTAGCAGTTGATGGATGCATCCTAACCAAATTTCCAATGTTTCCTATTTCTCTTCAGTAACAAAGAAGAGGGCAAGAACAATTGAGAGCACCAATAATTGTTTACAGAATAGCTTGTAAACACTAAAAATAGGCTTTAAAGAAACATGTCACAGAAGGTATCTTGGAATCCTAGAGTGATATAATTCTATAAAACTATCTCCTAGCAGAATCAAAAGCATGATGTAAGGTAAACTGATGCCACAGGGGGGACTGCAGGAGCAGACACACACATGGGAAATTTGGGGCTTTTAGTTTACCGAAGTACTCAACACAGAAGTGTGGGTTTGAAAAATGGAGCACAGAGTGGTGGCTGAAGCAGGGAGACACCTGGGGACAGACAGGCAGGGACCATGGTAGATGACGGTACAAGGAGATGGATGAGTACATTGTAAAATGGAGGAGGGCTACAGTGCCAGGGTGGATCAGCACCTGCCCAAGTGTGAGAAGCTGGTCGAGGAAGACTCCAAAAGAAGTCACTGAAACTCTTCTCTGGACAGACAGACCGTTTCAGTTCAATGGATGCAACACAATTACACCAGTGAAGATGCACTACGAAGCTGAAGAATGAAATTTACTTAATTAAAAGACCATGCTGTTGTCAAACAGGAAGAGTCAGTTTAAAAGATTGGTGCAAAAATTGCTCAACAGTGCTGTGCTCACATTGAGGGAATAACAGACCCCCCTCCACACACACACTCCAATTTCAATTAATTAATACTCTCAAAATGATGACAGAAAGAAAAGTCTTATGTTGATACTGAATATGCTTGATTGACTGAAACCCAGAAAAAACAAATAAAATAAAAATTGTGATGGGAAAGATGCATCTTCCATTTCGCAGGAATTACAGGTGAAAACTTGTGGGTCAAAAGAAATGAAGTGGTGAGTAGAATTTATTTTGAGCAATTAAGCCTTTGTCTAGCTGTAAAGGGTTCTATTCAGATACAAATCAAACAATTAGCACCCAATTTATCAATACAGAGAAAATAGAATTGAAATAATATGACTTAATGATTATCTGGATCAAAACAAGAGCCCATACTTGTCTACTTGTATGACTTAAAGAGCCACCGATCATGCACACAATATACAAATAGAAAGTGAAAAGTGGCAACAGGCCCTGAAAGATGATGTTCTCTTTTCTATCCTGGTCTCTTTTGGCAATGAATTATAAAATATGATTTACTAAATAACCGGTAACAAGAAGATAAAAGAAATTCCCAAGCACAAGATGGTCTCTAAAGGTTTTTGTCTGTTTGTCTGTTTGTGTTTTACTATGAGGGAGGTAATTAATGGAGTTTTTGAGGACTGTGGAATGAAATTAAGGTAAGTGTCCCTGAAGAGTCTTGCACCATGTCTTATTCCACAGAGGAAGGGGGAACATGGTGGAATGACTTTGGGAACAGAGTACAGAATGCTGTCTGAGTACTCTATCCTGATAACAATGAAAAGGATGGCACAACTTCTGATCTGCCTATTGATGAATCAGTAGGCTTTCTCTCAAATCTGTTAGCAAGGCCATCTTTGCTAAAATAGACAGATGGGTAGAATTATCAAGTTCCAGAGAACCACGAACTCAAATAATTAATTGACTGGCTCAGACACAGAATTCATTAATGGCTTCATAACTAAACACCTTGTAGCCAAAGAGTATTTGATATGTAATCCACAAAAAGAACCTGACTGCTTTAAGAGTTAAAATTATAAGTCGTTTAAAAAGATTCTGTTGTCCTGATGTATATGCTGTTTATTTCCATATTTTAATTCCTTTGTCCAAATTTTTAGATAACAAATTTATTTAAAGCCCTCTTAAGTCCCCAATTCCCTCATTGCACTATAAATTTTTGAGTTTTCAATTGGTGAAAAACTGATACGCTTCTGTTGAATGAGCATATGAAAATGGTGTTATAACTTATCCAAATACATTTTTAAGACAAATAGAGACTCTAACCTATCAAGTCTTTTCATTCAACTAACAACTTTGCACTAATAATAAAAGCAGCATATGCACATTTACTTTTTATAGTTGTCTCAGTTTCTAAACATTTTGTGTGGTGATGATTTTACAAGTGTTTCAAAAGTAAATTCTGTTGTAAGGGTATAATCTTTTAGTAGAATTGAAAGTCAAGAACTTAGAAAAGGGAGTAGGCAGGATGATACAATACTGAGAAATAGTCTAGGAGACATGTCATCATGAAGAGTTTGGTATAGCCAAGTAAAAGGAATGATATTTTTTAAAAAGTGAAGATTTATGAGGATAGGAGTTTGGATGAAAGAATAGAAATCATTTTAGGAACTTTAGGAAGCATAAAGATGTATTCGTCATTGTAAAATGTTACATTTTAACTATATTGAAGTTTCGGGGAGAGTGCAAGAACAACTTGGTTGCTTTCAGATTACACAGAGAAGCTACACCTTCATATATTTCAAGAAAGTATTTTCATGGTACAAACATTTTCATGGTACAACCATCCAAGGAGAAATGACTTGATAACCTAAGCTCATGAAATTTTAAAAAGAAAACATAATTATGACTTCTATAAAAGGCTATATGAAACAGAAAGTTTTTATGTTTAATTTTTTTAATGTGGCAGACATATCAAATTTCACATATTTAAGGTTATTTTGATACAAAACATGTGATGTTTTGATACAAAGTATGTGTCATGCAGTGTCCAGAGAAAATGACTGTCAGCTGCAACTGGCCCTGTGTTTGTCATGTTACAGTGCCATTTAAACCATCTGCAATCTTCTCCCTGTTCGAATGCGTAGCCCAGTGAAAAAG